CCCCCCCAGAAATGGACTTTTATGAAAACATTTGCCCAAAATGTGGAATGAATCAATATCAAGATGACAGTCTTGTAACAGACACTGGCAACCTCCCTTTGAAGGTAACTCATCTGAGCCACCGGTAAACTCTTTCCACTTTATGCCACACTAGTGTTTGTCAGTTTTTGTCAGCATGTCATGTGGTCTCCTGTTCCAGAACATTTGTACATGTTGTTTTGCCTGGAAGTTTTCCCCTCCTTCAACTGTAGTCCCTTCCTTCACGTCTCAGATCATACGTCCCTTCTGCAGGGCAGCCTTTGCTGACTCTTTCAGTTGTATCAGGCCCCCATCCTTCCAGCCCTCTGAACTTGTCTTTTTAAGTGTCGTTACTGTTTGTGATGAGGTAGTGCTGTAATTATTTGATTGTTGTCTGACTTTGACCTTACTATAAATGCCATGAAGGCAGAGTCTGATTTGGTCTCCATTTTATACTATGACACACAAATTGGTGAAGTGTTCCATATTTTTAAATGCGTTAATGGTTGGTTACCCATGGCGGACAGTGTTGGGTGGAACTCCCCGATTAAAACAAGCTTGGAAGAAGGAGTGGCATCCACTTCCGTAATAGCTTGCCTTCAGAAACCCTATGAACCTGGAGAGAGGATGAAAGACACACAAGTGTTGAAGACTTTCCTTTATAGGGTCACTATGAGTCACCTGCGACTAGACAGCACTTAACAACAACAACTATAAACATCAAACAATAATTTGTGGGATCAATAAATTTGTCTAGATAGTATTGAAACAGAGTATCTCAGGAAATACTTTTTACTTTTATCTTTCAGATGTTTTTATAATTCAGATGGGGACTTTTTAATCGGTGAGTGCTTTTGGACCCCTTGAGGTCAATTAATTCCAATTTACAAACTACTTTTTAAATTTCATATACATTATTTTTCCTTCACCATCCAATCTGTTTTATTTCATTTAGTACAATCCATGGATTGAGGGTCAGAGGCCATTGACAATCAAAAAAATATTACTAGTATATCTTAAAGCCCCAGTTCTATTTTTCAGACATTCTGTCTTTGTCCATCTCTGCTGAGTCTTTCTAATGTGAACGATCTGAACAGCTGACTTTAAAAAAAACATTTTTTAAAAAATGAGGTGGCCTAGTGGCAAGAAGCTGCACTGCAATCCTGAAGGCACATGGTTCAAGGCCACCAGCTGCTCCACGGGAGAAGGATGGGCAATCTCCTCCCCTGTGATTAACTGCCTCTGAAAACCCACCAGAGAGTCAGCTATGAATTGGTTCTGACTCGATGGTACATAACACCACCAACAACAACAACAGTACTAAGATGTGACTAATCTATTAATTCCGTTTGTCTTCAAAATCACCCAGATATCACTGATACCTGTGATTTAAATATACATTTTTACAAAAGTAAAACATGTTAGAACATGCAATAAGGGAGCTCTGGTGACATAGTCTGTACGGAATCATGCTGCAAATCAGAAGGTGGTGCCCCTTTGCTGGACTGAATCCACTAGTGGCTCCAAGGGAAAAAGATGCACCCTTTCCTTCTATGCAGTTCACGGCCTTTCAAAAACCCACTGGAGGGTCAGCTATGAGTTGGTTCAGTTCAACAGCAATGAGTGAGCAAGTGAAAGTGCAATAGCTACTAGAGATTTCTCTGGTCTGTTCATTCGATTTGATGGGTTGTTGTTGTTCTGAGCCATCAAGTAGTAACCAATTCACAGCTAACCCTCCAATGGGTTTTCAGAGGCTGTAAATTGTACAGGAGGAGATTGTCTGTCTTGTTCCCACAGAACAGCTGATGGATTTGAATTCCATCCCATTTAGGGCACCTCAGCTCCCTATTAGATTATTTAGTGTTGATAATTCTGAGTCAATATTTTGGTGTGGACTTCAGTCATATGAATGCCTATCTCCTACTGGACCAACAGAAATTATGGTTTCCTATCCTACTTTTACTTCCTTTAAAAAAAAATCATTCCACAGGATTGTATCTGTACAAGCTGCTTACCTAGTAACCAAAAAAGATTTGGGCCAATTTTTCATTCACATTTAGATACAGTATAAATTCCTCCATGAGAGTCAATGAAGCTCTTTTCATACAGAATGAGAAATCAAAGACAGCTTTTAATCTTTTTATTCTTCACGAAATGGTCTGCACACATCTAGCATTGCTCACCAGTGTCCTGTTTTTTGTCAGTTCCCCAGAAAGGAAAGCTTCTCATTTACACCGAGTTTGGCAAGATGCTTGTGCAGCCCAATGAAATCTGCGTCATTCAGGTTGGTAACGTGCCCCCTTCTCCTCCTTTCTTCTGTCTAAGTTGGGTTAAGTGAAACCGAAGCAATCAGATGTTGCAGCTGCTTCTATTTCCGACTCCAAAATTTCTCTGTCATGCCTGGGAAATGAGGAAGGCGTCTGAGTTATGCAGAAGGCTCCATGTGGAGAAGGGTACTCAGGCCCCAGTTCTATTTCTACTTTAAAATAGCAAACATGCATAGGGCACAGAGCTTTGTCAATTCTGCCTCTCAAATATTTATGCACTCTCTGGATTAGGCTCTGTTTCCATGGGAAAGGGATCTGGGAAGCAGTGAAGGTGAATTTCTTAATAATGTGGCCACATCAGGATTATTATTATTATTATTATTATCCCTTGCCCAAATGAGAGATTAAACAAGAATTTACTTGAGTCACAGATGTAATTAGGAATGGCATTTTTCTTTCTAATTCCTCTTTGAGCTGGTCTCCTATGGAGGCCAGCATAGCTTAACTTTTGCCTGGGGTTCAGTGTGGATCTGAGGAAGCTTCTTTAGAACTACAGCAATGATTCTGGGGGGACACCCACTAGTGTTTGCTTCTTTTCCAGAGAGGAATGCGGTTCAGCATAGACGTCTTCGAGGAGACCAGGGGTTACATTTTGGAGGTCTTTGGTGTCCACTTTGAATTGCCTGACTTGGGACCCATTGGTAAATCTTGTTTACAGTTCTCTAAGCCCTACTTGAAATACAGGATGCAGATAATCGCATGAAAGTTCGACATTCTTTGCCTCTCACTGTCTAACTCACACCTCTACATTCTGCTCCAGAGGTCTTTGCTAGACTGAACATAGCTGGGAATTCATAAAACCTACTGGAACACCCTGAACAATCTCTGATTTTCCTTTTAGATTTCTGATTTTAGGAACTCTATGCAGTACACATGATCCATTGATGAAATAAAACCTTCATGACTTAATTAATCTCTGTATCGATCCCCATATTGTGCTGAGGGTAATGACAGGTACATCATCAAGAACACAGGTCTCTTCTCATAAAACATGCATAACAGGAGACAACTCATTGTCAATTTCTCTCTTAAATAGTATACAGGGAGCAGCCACTGGAGCTGCAGGAATGTTTCTTCGTGACTGTCCCAGGCCCACGAAGCCATGGGTGCCCTGGCCCTGCTGCCACCACTGCCTGGCTCCAGGAAGAGAAGTTAAACTTCTAGAGAAGCTTAATGGACAAGCAACAACAAGCTACATGGGGTGCAGGTGCTGTGAAATGATACAAAACTATGTCTTTGATCCAACAACAATTGCCTTTTCCTGGCTGTATTAATGAAGTAAGCAGCTGCAAGTTAGATGAAGACAGCACTCGTAAATTTAAAGGCAGACAGCAGTGAAGTCCTGGTTCATAAAAATGACCTTCAAAGTGAGGAACTGAAGAGAACTGAGAGCCAGAGCAGAACATCCTGCTGCCAAGAGCCCCGCTAGTCTCACCGGGGACCTCCCTCTCTCCAGGGGACCCAGGAGGGGGCCACAGTGGGGACAAGGCTGATGGTTCCATCAATGAGGTTGACCCCACTGCTGCTTTGCAGCCCGCTGGGAACCCCAGGCCCCCATGCAGTGGCTCCTTGGACAATATCCTGCCAATGACAGTCACCTGACAGGAGGGGACACCAGGAAACAGAATGATGAATTACCAGCTTTGAAAGAGACACAACTCATCCAAAAAGGGAGACTCTGGAGTATCTTCTAAGACAGAAAGTCATGCCTTGGAAGATCACATCTTACAGACACCAGTTCCAGATTAGCCTCAACTTTAGGACTCAGCTGTAGACAATGGTGATCATGAAGAAAGGATTACCTTTTCCAGAACCATACAGAGAATGTGCACTTGGACAAAACTGTCCATCATGGTGTGGATACATCTACTAGGGAGAGGGGGCATTCATTAAGTGAGGGCATGGCAACACAAGTTTTAAGCGTCTCCTTTGAAGAGGAGGATGTTGCTCCGCCTGTGCCTGTGGTTGATTCAAGAAGTAAACAAGAAGGTGTTCACGGCTGTGTGGAGATGGGGATGGAGAGATGGCAGAAGAGGGTGCAGCAGTGGAATAAGCACTTGCCACTTTAGAAGCTGTTACTTAGGGAGAAGATATCGATGAGGTATATTAGGGGAGAGGACTGTCAGGCAAGGAAGCTGCTATGTGTACATAGCTGAGTCTGAGGGATGCATTTCATTAGATACAGAGCTGATATCCCATCAGCATGCGGCAGTGCAGCCATTCAGATGGTTTATCCCCAACCTCTGTTGTATTGTCATACCTATGCTGGACTGCTTGTAATATATTTGCCCATATTTCTGCAACGGAGCAGCTGGTGTCCTCAAACCATGTGCCTTCAGAATTGCAGCACAACTTCCTGCCACAAGGCCACCAGAGCTTGTTTGTTGCATATTTGGAACCTCACTCTGTTTAGCTGGGCTATCATGAAGGACATGAAACTAGAAAAAGGAAAATATGAGAGTGGGCTATCACACCCAGGTCCACAGGAGAAGTTAAGCAGCCTGTTCATCCCTCAACGCTCCCCAGAATATCCGATGTTCACAACAGTGCTCTGAAGTCCCAACTCAGTCCCAGAGGCACAGAACCACAGAGAAGTGGTTAACCGTGAATTCCCCATCTTGCTTTTGAGAGCCAAATGTTAGACTGAACCTGGGTAAGACGATGGTCCAGTGAAAAGTGCCTATTATAGACCTTGGGCATGGCTTACCTTCAGGGACGATCACCCAGGAAACTGATAACTAACCATTTGTTTATCAATCAGTTCACCTCCACAGTTTTCCGGGTAGAGCACAAGTCACCAGTAAACAAACGGTCAGTCATGAGCTGTAGGAGTGAGACAACTTAATCTTACCTTTTTTTTACATGACTATTTTTTAATCTCCTTTGGGAGTGGGGAAGCTTCAGTCTTAAAATGGCTTGTGTCATATTTGAGTCTAATATTCATGAGGTTTGGAAGAGGAGAGGGATATATGGATTCTCATATGCTATTAAATGCCTGATTCTGACAAAATAAACCATTTGTGTTAGTCTTTAAAAAGCAAAGACAAAACACCCAACAACACCAAAGCAATAGTATATGGTCCATTGGAGATGAGACATTATGTGGTCAATTTCTCATTATACCACAAGGCATACAGGGATTTGGGGGTTGGTTGAGCCAGATTCACCAGGAACAGCATTTGTCATTTGTCTTATTCTTGATGAAAATTGGAGAAGTAAAGGATAAAGGGAACAGCTTAAGGAAAAGCATATAAGCTAAAAATATGTGAAGAACTATATTCCTATGGACACAGGGGAGAAGCTGTGTGTCATATAGTCCATAAACATTATATTCCTACGGAGCCCACTTCACAAAATCCATACACCCAACAATCAAAGAGGTGGATCGCTCAGTGCTATGAAGGAGCTAGAAGCCACAGTCCCCATGAGGCAGATTAGAACTTTCAAAAGTGTACCAAGTTCCCTCCCCATCCTTCTGTCAGGCTGGATGCAGGAGATGGAGGAGGGAGGTGAAAGAGGGAGGAAGGATTGCTCTCTAAACATCTCTTGGAGTGAAAGGAGTGGCTGGAACATTTGGCCTTTGGTTTCCTCTTTGGTGAGTGTGCTGAAGGAGGTGGCCACACCTCCCAGCTCATCCCTCCTTTGTCAACAGCTTTTCAGAGTGAAATAGGGACAGGCCAGGATGTGCCTTCTGGCCACTCCGCTGGGGGATCGGAATAGTCAGAGGAAGGTGGGAGGCAGCAGAGAGGCAGCTGGAGCCCTGGTGGGCCGTCTGTCATCCTGCTCACCACCCACTCTTCCCGCTTTGGTCTGGCTTCCTGCTGCTTTCCAGTCAGCATAGCCTCCAGGTTCCGTGGCACATGTACCCTCTGGAAAATATATATAATTTACTAACCAGCTGGGGGCTTAGTTTTTTCTAACCCCAGGAGCTGGAAATGATAAAACACTCCCCAGGTCTCTCTTCTCAGAGTTAAATTATGTTTTTGCACTTACACTTTTCATTTTTGGTCTTTTGATTTCTTTCCTTTCTCTGGAGGGAACACAGGCTCCTCAAGCAAAGGTAATCAGGCAAGTCCTGCCTATTTTCCCCTTGAGTAGGGGACAGAGTTGCCAGGCTGGAGAGCAGCTTTATAGACTTGGATTTCAAGCTCCGACCAAAGAGCAGAGGCGAGGCTGGGGCTGAGGCTTTCTTCCCAAAGTCACAGACTAGAGGTGACTGCCAGAGTCCTGGAGTTTACTCTGACCTAGTGCTGCCTTCTCCTCCTCTTACCTCACCTGTAGTGACGAGCTCATACAGTGAAATGACTTTGTAAAACACAAACACTATACAGTTATAGGAGATGATGCTGGTAATGATGGTGATGATTATGGAGTGGTTTCCTACTCCCCCACTCCCCAAGATCTCTAACCTCATTAAAATCCTTGCCTTCCTAAAACTAAGAATGCAGTGAGTCTTTGAGCAATGAAAGCAATTGGTGGAGTGGTTTCAGACATTTAAAAAAATGCCCTTTCTCTCTGTGTGACTGTGGACATCTTACTCTGATGGTCACAAAATATCCTAAAAATGTTTGGGTCATTCTGTTCTAGGAGCCAACGGCTTGGCAAATCCTCGTGATTTCTTGATACCCGTTGCCTGGTTTGAAGATCGCCAAGTGCCTGGTGGTTACACCGTCATTAATAAATACCAGGGCAAGCTGTTTGCTGCCAAGCAGGTAAAGTAATAGGGTCAGTAGGCAGGAGAGGGGTGAATAGTTATTGAGCACCTTCTGTATACCAAGGACAGTGTTTGGTTACGCTACCTATATTATCTCCTTTCTCCTTAACCGTAACCCTTCACCACACCACTAAGTGCTTTATATAATAAGGCATACTCTGGATTGGATTCTGTTTCCAGAACAGACACATGGCTGGAGATTGCCATCCTATAGTAGGATGTGAATCCTTTCCTACTTTAGAGCAGGTCCAAAAAGCTTCACCTTAGGATCACCCTGGAGTCTTCAGTACTTGGGATTGGGAATTTTAGAGGCCTTCTCTCCTCTCCTGTACTCATCACCTCAGTCACCAGGTCTGCTAAAAGCTCCTCTGGGCTGCAGGTCCCTAGAGAAGACACCCCTCCCCCCCCCCGCCCAGTGCCCTGTACACCAGGCGCCCTGGAAGGTGGCCCAGATTGTCTGAAAACTGCTGGCATCTTCCAAATCTCACAACTGGGTTAAAAAAGCGTGGAAAAGGCGCTAGTTGGAGAACGTGCTGTTCTGCTGCTGCAGCACATGTGACCAGAAGACATCTGCAGCTGGTGAACAGGAAAATTAGGGTTAGTGGCTACGCGAGGGCTGGAGAGAGGGGGTGTGAAGCAGCCACAGGATGGCTCAGAGTGATGCTTCTCCCAGGGGTGGAATAATGAAGTTATGAGGGGAGAAAATTAAATCAGAAAAAGAAGTGAAGCCAAGTACATACTGAGGCACCGCAGGAACAAAAGCGTCGAGTTCTGGCTCAACCTTTCATGGTCTTTTGTCGTCAGGATGTGTCCCCATTCAATGTGGTGGCCTGGCATGGGAACTATATGCCCTACAAGTACAACCTGGAGAACTTCATGGTCATCAATTCAGTGGCCTTCGACCATGCAGTAAGTTCGGACTCTGGAGAGGCCTTGGGGATGGTGAACTCTTGGGTCCACAGTAGACTCTTGATGTTCATAACATTAGCGTTTTCAGTGTCACCCTTGGAAGCCCTAGAAATAGTCACTTGTCACTGCCCTGACAGGAATTTGAATCACTGGCAGCAAGACTCTGGCAGAGGAATCAATCAATCACACAGCTAGTGAGGGTGCCAAGCCAGACACTTAACATTCTCCTTGAACTCAGCTTAGCTCTTCAAGTGGGATTGCACGAAGTGCTTGTAGATGGGGGGCGGGGAGGGGGGCTTAGTTTCTTTGTGGATAATGTATCCCCAAAAGCTCCCCCAAAAGAAAGTCAAAGGCTAATGTTAGTGATGGAATGGAAAGAAAGAAAAACTGAGGGTTTTGTCAAGGCTTCTGGATTGACTGCTCACAAGTATCCAGAGGTTACTTGACTTGTTCTGCACTTGTCTGCATGCCTGGCTGTTTTCAGCTGTAACGGAACAGACAGTCTTCTTCGAAAGTTACTCAGGGCGGTTGGTCAGTGTGTACATTTAAACTGGAGAAATTCTAGAATGTGAACTTAATCAAATTTTTCATTTAATTAAGGAGCCCCAGAATAGGTCCCTGATCTGCAGTGCAGGCCTCCAAGGCCCCACATTCCTGATAAAGTGCTTGTTCTGAGCTCCTGAGGGAAAGCGCATTGTGCCTGGTTCATAACAGATTAATTTAACTTGCAGGCTGGAGGGATAATTAGAGCAGAAGCCAGAGAATCAGAGACAGAAAGATTACTCTGAACCAGTTCTGTTTATCTCTAGGGGAACAAAACTACCTTTCTGAAGAGCAGCAACTCTTAATAAAACCAAAGGGGAAAGCAAAGGGAGGCACCAGGCCTGGGACGCCGGTCGGCATGAGAAAGGACTCTCAGACTAGAATGAAGCTTGTATTTAAGCCTCACTACTTTTCCTTCTAATAGGTTATGATCATTTCACATGACAAATGAAGTGTGAGCTTCCACAGCCCTTAGAGTTGATTTTGGGGTTTGAATTCCCACAAATTCAATCTTCTCTGCACTGCTGCGGAAGTTATTTTTCCAAAATATAGCTCTGATCATTCTACTAGCGCATCAGAAAACCTTAGCAGGCGCCCCAGAGCTGAGGATTAAGGCTGAGCTTTGGAGCGTGGTGTTTGCGCCATCTGGCCCTTCACTCACTTTCCGGCGTCACCTCTTGCGCGTAACCTTCCACCACTGTCCCCTGAGCCTTACCCGTTACCCCCCTCAACAGAATTTCTGTGCACTTTGAAATCTCTGCTATTTTCTGAGCGTAACACCTTTCTCTTTCTTCTTCCTTCCTTTCCTCCTTTCTCTTTTCTTTCTCCTCCTTCTCCTCCCCGTTTCCTTGTTTTTGTTATTGTTTTGTGCCATCGAGTGCCACTGCTGACGTTCTGGCAGGTTTTCAGAGGAAGTTAGTCACAGGGGAGGAGACTGCCCATCCTCCTCCAGTGGCAGCTGGTGGATTTGAACCACGTTCCTTTCTTCTTTCTCCCCCCCACCCTCGCCCCTCCTGTTTCTGTTGGTTTTTCCTTTTGTATCTACTCTGAGACATGCTTCAAATATCCCCTCCTCTTTGAAGTCCTGGTTCTTTGAGGTGAAGATAGACTCTCTTCTCTCTCTTAGAAGGTTTGGTGGCCTGGTTTGCAAGTAAGGAGTTGCGCTGCCAACGCAAAGGAAGCAGTGTGTGCGATTAACTGCCTCTGAAAACCTGCTGGAGGGTCAGCAAAGGGTCCATTCCGACCTAAGGAGCACACAGTAACAACAGCAACAACTACTCTCTTAGATCTCGAAAAGGGCTTAGCTGAGGCCAGCGGCTGGCTTACCCTTGGCACCTTGTGATTTAGTCCTTGCAACAAAATCACTCCTTCAACCTCCTCCACCCAGTCTCCACTGCCATTAATGCTGAAAGATAAGACGGCAGACATTAATTATTCATTTAATCTCTTGGTTCTTAAATGGCATTTAAAATGAATGAACGGAAATCCAAGTTCTCTATACACTTTCATTAAAATATCAATTTAAAAAATTTTAAAAAGTTAACATAATTATGGTTTCAATTACATACAATTTCGTTTTTTTTTACTGAAGGATTCTAAAGTTCTCAATACCATTCTACTCCCAAATCTATTCCCATCTACACTGTTATTGTTGTTGTTAAGGTTGTTAGTCTTGTTGAGTTAGAACTGATTCATAGTTGACCCTCCAGTGGGTTTTCAGAGGCTGTAGATCACATGGGAGGAGATTGCCTATCTTTCTCCAAGGGGAGGCTGGTGAATTTGAACCACGTACCTTTGGGTTGACAGCACAGCTCCTCACCACTAGGCCACCAGATACCAAAACAAGTAATAGGATTTCTTTTTTTTAGGCTCAAGAGTCAAACAAAGGTAAGAAAACAATGAAACCACCTGCAGACCAAAGTTCCAGATGAAAGTGATCATCTGGAATCTCTGTGATTCCACAAAAAGAGATTTATTATACATCAAAAAGTTGGATTATTTCTGTTTCCACCTAACTGCCAGGAACTTTATGTCCACTTCCCTGCTCTGGTCACCCTGACCTGAGGTTAGTAGGTACCCCAGCATCACCCCAGGATTGTGCCTTGTATGAGATGTAGGCTCAGCAGGATGAAAAGCAGCTCAGAATCTTCTTAGCAAGTGTTAATTCATTTTGCTTTCAAGCTCAGCAAGAGCAGAAGGTCTGATGAGTGATTACTATACCACAGTGACAAGTCCAGACTTCTTAGCCCGGCCTGGGTGGTTTGATCAGAAATTAGGCTGTCACTTGGAAACACCTTCATCACAGGGGTGACGTGCATGCCATTGTCCAGTCCCCTCCCTTGCATCGAGGGTTCAGTGTCATCTTGTGCTTTCACAGGACCCATCCATTTTCACAGTACTGACTGCCAAGTCTCTCCGCCCTGGAGTGGCCATCGCTGATTTTGTCATCTTCCCACCTCGATGGGGGGTTGCTGATAAGACCTTCAGACCTCCTTATTATCACAGTAAGTCTCTTCTACCAAGCCACACTTGAAGGCCACAGAGAGAGTAAAGGGATGGGCACTACTCATTGGGAAGCCCAGTCTAAGCATGAGTGCAGGATTGAAATATATATGCCAACAACAGCATAGAGAGAGCAGTTGGCCTAGCGAACAGAAAGCCAGGCTTCCAAGCCAAAGGTGGGTGACTCTACTCCGCGGCCCTCAGGCCTGCCTTTAATTGTTTTTGGTGAAGCATTCTTTTAGGTCATGTAACCCTGGTCTGTCCACTTGCTGCACAGAGGTAACTCGTGGTTGCTGTGAAGCTGAACACTGTGGCACTGATGAGTCAAATGTGAGAATGGTTACCATGGTGGACAGTGTTTGGTGAAGCTTCCCAATTAAAACAAGCTTAGAAGCAGGAGTGGCATCCACTTTCAGAATAGCTTGCCTCTGGAAACCCTATGATCCTGGAGAAAGGAAGAAAGTTATACAGGAAGGGTCCAGGAGTTTCGTTCATAGGGTCACTATGAGTCGCCTGTGACTCGACGACACTTAACAACAACAACTATATCTATATCTATATATCTATATAGATATCACTATATATATATATCTATATATATATAGATAGATAGATGATATAGATATAGATATAGATATAGATATAGATATAGATATAGATATAGATATAGATATAGATATAG